TCAACCCCAAACCCCTAATTCCTAAACCTCCCTAAGCCCTAAATCCTAAACCTCCCTTTAAAGGCCTTAACCCTCAACCCTAAGCCCCTAAACCCTAAACCCCTTTAACCCCTAAACTGCCTAAACTCACAAACCTGAACCCTTTAATCCTAAAATCCTAAGCCCCTTTAAACCCCTGAACCCTCAACCCTAAAGCCCTAAACCCAAATCCCAAACTCCTTCAAACCCATACAGCCTCAACCCTAAAGCCCTAAACCTAAATCCCAAACTCCTTTAAACCCCCAACTTTAAACCCCTGAACCCCTAACCCTAAGTCCCAACTCCTTTAAGCCTCCAACCCTACACACCGCCTTAATCCAGATCCAAGGCCACAAAAGCCAAAATCCAGAGGCTACGAGAAGCAGGTCCTTCGCACTTTGTAGCTTTCACATGGGGTGAAGGGTTGAGGGTTTACCTGAACCCCAAAAATTATGTAGAACCATGTTCTTTTGGGCTATAGTCAGGTGTTTTTTTTTTGTTTTACCTACTTTTGGGGTCCAAGTAGGGCTTAGGTTTAAAGGTTTAGGGTTCAGGGCTTAGGGTTAAAGGTTAAGGCTTCAGGGCTTAGGGTTAAAGGTTAAGGCTTCAGGGCTTAGGGTTAAAGGTTTAGGGCTTAGGTTTGGGGCTTAGGGTTTAGGGCTTAGGGTTGAAAGCTTAGGGTTTACGGCGTTTACGGCCTAGGGTCTAGGGCTTAGGGTCTGGCGTGTAGGTTTCAGGGTCTTGCACATGGGCTTAGGAGTTCCCCAGAGACTCCAAGTACTCTACACAACAAAGACAAAGTCCTAAAAGGCTTCGGGGGAGGGCTGGGGGATTGAGGGTGTAGGGCTTAAAGGGTTTGGGATTAGATAAGCTTCAGAGCTCCAAAAGGCAGCAGTTGCGGACTTAGTAATCCTAAACCCTAAAACCCGAAACCCCATACCGTAAACCGAAGGGCTTCAGAACTTAACCAACTCAGACATTGGAGGCGTGTGCCCCGGAATGCGCTGACCCAGCCCTGAACCCCCAACCACAACCTGTAGCCTAAGTCCAAATCTGTGCAACCCCGACCACCAAACCCTGACCCCCAAGCCTGAGCCCGAAGTCTGAATGACAAGCTGGGTGCTCTGAGTGATCCCCGACGTCTGGAAGCATCTAGACATTAATTAGCTGCCCTATAGAAACCCTACTATAGTCTCCTTACTTAGATCTCTATAGTTACCATACTTGCTTTTGCTTACTGGTGGCTTGTAGGGAATAAGAGAATACAATCCGTATATACTCCCTATATGATATATTCCCTTCTTCCCTCCGAACCCGTAAGTTAAGGAATCTGTTGTTCAGGACCTTTTGTGGCGGTCTAGCATGGCATATCATCCCTATAGTATATTCCCTTATTCCCTACGGACCCGTAAGTTAAGGGATCTTGGGGCTGTCTAGCATGGCATGTGTAGGCTACCACCTGACCTTCGCTGCCGTGTACCAGAGCCCAGCTGTTTCTGCGTGGGGAGGGGCTGCCGCCTACTGGTGCTTCAGGGGGAGTGGGGGAGTGAATATACATGCTACGGTGGATACTAAAAATCCTGCATAACTCTAAGTACCTTATACCTTGGGAACTATGGTATTATAGTATACTAAGGTCACGCAGGATTTTAGTATCAACAGTAGTATAGGGGGACATATGGGGATTACACAGGGATTCTTATAGGGATCCACTCCCCCACTCTCCCTGCAGGCAGTAAGGATGCGTAACCGATACTGCAAAGGGGTATAGGGTTAAGGGTTTGGTTCACATCAAAAATCCGTCGCTTCCCCAAGTACTCAAAGCACCCTAAATCTTTTGTGGGTCGATGTGGGGTTTTGGGATGGTTTAGGGTTTACAGTTGGAGCCTCGTCTTTTGTCAGTTGTCAATGTACAAAGATTCCCTTACAGTCCAGCTGTTCAGGAGCCTTATAGTTGGGCTTTGGGCTTAGGATCAGGATTTACCTACAGACCGGTTCTACGCGGGAAACGGAAAGCTCTCACACGTTTTGTGAGTTCAGCGCAGATTGTGCGGTTTGCAAAGAACTGGCCCAGCAACACCCACCAAAATTGCCCGAGGCGATTTTCTAAGATCACAGTCTGCGCAATCTAGGGCGCATACGCCCAAAGAACATATAGTACAAAGCTAGGCCCTAAGCCCTATATCCCGTACTGAAGGGATCCACCTTTGTGGAAATCTCCCCATCTCCAGGTTAGGTCCCGCACCAGCCGCCTGACTGTCAGGTAGCTTTAGGGTTTAGGATTTAGGGTAATTACCCAAAGGGTCCATGTAGCTATATAGTATATAATGTGGCCCTAAGGTAGTTATATGGGAACCCGTTTGGGCGCTAAGTATATACTATATAGCTACATAGACCCTTAGGGGTAATTTTAAACCCGAAGCTTCACAGGCTCGGCTAAATTGGATTTATCTTTTGTGGACTACTGGGAGTGGGATGTCCGATACCGGTAAAGAGGTAGCTGGTGCAGGGATCTGAGCTGTGTCCTGAGAGCCGTGCAATGCTGTGATGTCGGTTTAGTTTAGGGGTTCAGGGGTCCGGGCTTTAGGGCTTAGACGGTTTAGTTTAGGGTTTCAGGGGTTCAGGGCTTTAGGGTTTAGACCATCTCGTATGGTCCTTTTTTGAGCCTTGGAGTGGGGGGGTTGGGGGGGGGGAGAGCTTTGTCAGGAGCCGTGGCAGGAGGAGGCAGTAGTGCAGACCACGTGCTTCGTGCCATGCACCTATTGGGCAAAGCAGACTTCTTGTCCCTTTGTTTGGAGAGAAGGACTCATGGTGAGCAACTCACCAATCAAGGATCCTTATCCAGCCGGAAAAATGCCCTCAGCATTGTAGATGTGAGCTGATTGTCCACAAGACATGGCTGGTCAAGGTCCCGTGGAAGATGGAGAGGCGCAGGCGTGGTGAGCAATGTCATTACCCTGCCACCTCAGGCTCATGCGCCGCAAGACACAATTGCGCGACTTGAAGAAGCTGGTGGAACGGCATGCTTTACAGACAAGACGCAGATTCGACAACGCTCGTAAAACGAGAGTGACACTAGCATGCCTATGACTGTAGTTGCCAGCAGGCCCTTTGCCCATGAACGCTAATTCTGAGGATCCCAGATGCCAGGAGACCTGTAGGATTGTAGGACCTTCGTTGCCCTTGGAAACTGTGGTACCTATACGAACTTGATGCAGGATTTGTAGTTTCTAACCGACTCATCTGCCCTTACCCACGTCTGAGAAGAGCGAACTCAATTACTGGTGCAGGATGGGCGTGTGTGAGGATGAAGGCCCAAGCTGCCACCTAAATGGTAGTTTCCCAAAATAGGGGGGACCCCCAATATAGACCCAAAATACTGTAGTCCTCATTCTTAGGACCCCAAAAAAGGTACCCCTAATTTTGGGAAACCCTTAAATCCCAAACTGACTCAACGGAACCTGAACTCTAAGCTTCATCAGAACTATGGCTCTGATCACTGGGCATTCCTTGGCTTTGCAAGGTTTGGCGACGCAGAAGTGCTTCTGAGCAGGGCACCCAAGAATCTTACTGCTTATCAGCTGGGAGCAAGGGAATGACATCCCAAACCCCTACCCATGATTAATAAAACCCCTCCCCTTAATAAGGATTATCATAGGGATCCTGATACTTAACGCCCTTAAAGGGAGGGGGGTTATCGATCACGGGCCTACCTTATACAAAATCCTTGTAGAATAATGTTCCTTTATTCCCTACTAAGAACCAGTAAGTCTCAGAAGAGCATCTGCACCTAGACTTGCATTCGCATTCTCTCTGCGTGTCTTTCCAGTTTGGGGTCACGGAGCAGCAGTGTCATGGGCTTCGCAATTTGGCCTTGGGTTGGAGTCCAGAACTAAAGAGGAATCCGCGTGCACTGGGCCCGGAATTCCGCATGTTTGACGGTCACAAACCCTACCATTAGGATAATGGCAGGATGACACGGCTCCAGGTTTATCCTTGCAATTCCATTGCCAGTGTTGGCTCGTTAAGTGACAAAGCCGCTTGATTAGATTTCCCAATTGTGGATGGAGTCATTGCTAGTTGTCAACACATTCGGAATGAACGTCCATGTCGTGCACTTTGTTTGGTGATGTCTAGGTTGTGGCGGCTAATTCTTTTTGAGACCCCTGAACGGGGTCGTTCCATAGCCTCAGGGTTATGAGGAATCTTCCGGGATTGGCGTGTTGAATTAGATACGGGCTTAGGGGTTCAGCAGCTACGGGTACATGGTCTAGAGGTTATTCCAATCTGCTGAAAGTCCCATGGGCCCTTTTGTACATGTTGGTGTTGTGACACTGTGACTAATATCCCTTGTCTGGTGTATACATTTGGGTGCCCTGGAGTACATGGAAGCCACCAAGTAGTGACTGTCCCCACGCCTTGAACCCGGTCATTGTTGGAGAAAGTTTGTGGTTGTTGTGTTTCATCGGGAACCCGTGATGATTCTTAAGCCCTCAACCCCAAACCACCCACGCCATAAAATGGCCAAGAAGTCCGCTTCCGGATTCATGCTTCAACATCCACCAAATCCTCTTGCTGCTAGGTAGCCCCAGACCCTACACAATACGTCCTCTGCCGCAAAACCAGCACCCTTACTTACTGATTGTTAGAATTACATGGAAATGGACTTGCAAAGTGGCCCAAGTAAAGTCCCTGCTAATTTATCGTTTCTATTTGCTGTTTCTTTTCCTCAACACCCACCCCCAAGCCCTGAATAGTAGTTTCCATGTTCTGTTATATCCCTTCATTCTTTCAGAACCAGCAAGATAGCCCCAAAGCCTCAACATTCAGCTGTAAGCCCTGAACCCTACGTCCAAAGTCCTAAACCCTAAGCCCTGGACCTTAAACCTAACAACAGTGCAAAAACTCTGCAGGTCGCGGTAGAGCTAGAGCCACGGAAGATGGCAAACAGCCGCATCCTATGAATCCGTATGAGGGTTTAGGGTTTCGGGATTCGGGTCTAGGGGTGGCTTTGTGTTCAGGTTCCAAGGAACTGGGGAGTCTAGGGGATTCAACGTTCAGGGCTTAAGTTTTTTTGGGTTTCAGGGGGTTTTGGTTGAGGGTGTCAGGGAGTTAGGGTGGAACGGACTTCAGTTTAGGAAACTTAGGGGAATAGATACGGTTTAAAGGGTTGAGTGTACACAGTCTTAGGGAGTAAGGCTGGGTGGGGTTCTGCAGAGCTCAGCTACTGCAAAGGCAAGAAAGAAAGAGAACAGTAAAAGCCTAAAGGTTTAGGGTTGAGGGTAAGACCCTAAACCCTAAACCCCAAACCCAAAACAACCCTCAAATTCCCCATCTTGCAGCATGTTGGTTGGCCCTTCCTGTGGGAAAACTGTAACGACGTCACCCGGCATCACTGACAATGGCAGCTTACATAGACGATGGTCCCATATAGGCTTCAGTTCCGGGCTTCGAAGTTACAATAGCATGGTCAGTTACTGTAAACCCAAACCTTAAGGGTCCAAGGACCCATATATTTCGGTTTTAGGGCCCAAGTACTGCAATATAATGAATGGTATTTGGGCCCGAGAATCCTGTTATCAGCAGGGATTCAGGGCATTGGCTAACATGGGTCTATCTGCGTGCAGCTGGGGATCTTTCTAACTTCGGTACAATGCGGGTCCCTATATGAACTATTCCATTTGGGGAACACAGTAATTTGGCTCAAGTCCCATCTATTTTAAGACTCGTGGTTCAATCTCAAAAGCCTAATCTTCTCAAGATGATGATTCTTGTCTGGGCTTCCTGTAGAAGCAAGAACAGTTAAGCACTTTATTCTCCGAAATTCATTCTACAACTATAATAGAAAACTGTTCTTGTGAGGTACCTTTTGCCATAAATGTACAAGGAATTTAGGCCCATGATATTGGTAATGATGTAGACTTCTACACTATGACCCAAGCCCTATTCTAACTATTGGCCCATACAAAACGGACTTTTGAGGCTTTGATGCAAGCTTGGAAAATCACAGGCCAGAAATTGTACACAGCACGCGCCCCTTGCACCTTTCTAGAGATCTTCAGGCCTTCAGCCCCCCAGCGCAAGAAGCTCGACGCCTCAAGCCCTAAAGCCTGAACCCTAAACCTTATGCTAGGTTCACAGGCAGAAATTGGCAAAAGTCGGTCCAAGCAATCCTCGACCTCCAGGACATTCCTAGTGGGTCTAGGTTCAGGGTTTAGCGTTCAGGGTTTAGGGTGGCCAGTTGGTGTTCACAGTTTATGGCCCACCTGGGCCTCAAAAGCAGGAAAACTAATAGGCAAAGATCTTAGACCTGGCCAAATGGTTATTAGGCTACATACTTCGGGGGTCCAGGTAATTGCCTACCCCTAAACACTGAGCCCTAGATAGTTTTGGGCTGATTTGGTGGCTTGGGTGCCCTGGAGGTCCCTGGTTTAGGGTTGAGGGCTTAGGGTTCTATGCAAGGTTATCAGTGAGATGTATCAGCATATCTATGTAACTAGAGGGCACCACGCTGCAGACCTCAAAATGATTGTTCAAACTGCTTAGAACAATTCCCATACTCCTCTATATATAGCCAGTTCCCCTTTAATGTTCCTTTTTCTTGTCCATTTTATTCTTGATTATTGGTAAGCAGCCATCGCTTCCTTGACAAGTCGCCCCTTGGGCCCTTGCAGCAAATGGGCAAGGTCTTAGAGAGCACACCATGGCTTTGACCCCTAAACCCTCAGAACCCTAAGGGTCCATGTACCCAATAATTGGGTACTTAGGGCTTTGGTAATTGTAATTATAGTGCAGGTTTTGCGTAAGTATATGGTTATTAGGCACTGGGACCCTGAAACCCTAAGCTTGCATTAAATAAGTCCTACATGCTTCGCAAGATCATTGCTGCTTCTTGCTAAGGGCTAAGGCTTTCAGCCGATAGTCCCCCTTAAGTAGATAGAATATGGGATATATGGGGATCTTATTACAATATACCCGAAGCCATATTCTATCTACTTAAGGGGGACTATAAACCCTAAAGCCGCAGAGGTCGGCCTTTGCTTGTGCTTTGCAGCATCAGCCCTAAGCCCTAAACCCTAAACCTCGCTAACCATCACTGGACTAAGCAATCGGGAAGAAAACACATGGAGGGGTTCCAAGGTTGGTGGGGCTACAGCATGTAGGGTTTAAGGTTTAGGGTTTAGGGTTCAGGGTTTAGGGTTTAGGTTTCAGGATTTAGGGTTCAGGGTTTAGGGTTTAGGGTACACAATTGTCTACTCCCAATTATAGCCCCCCCCTGCTCCAAAGAGGGGACCTAAGTTTCAAGACCCCTTACATTTGTCCACATGCAAAATGCTGGTCAGAGCTCTTCTTTCAATTTGCTATAGCCCAGAACTCCCATGGTTTGTAAACCCAAAACCGGGCGTAGGGCCTTGCAGGATTTTGTCCATCAACTGTAGCATTTACTTTCAACTGTAGTGTTGGCTTTTGAAAGAGGCTTAGGGTTTAGGGTTTAGAAGTTAGGGTTTAGGGTTGAGGGCATAGGTCTCTTAGTGTGGCTGCATGCTAGTTTATTGGAGTCGTAGACTCGGAACCCTGGTTGCAGGAATATTTGGAGCTCGAGGGGCTGATAGTGCAATCCGGGCCAATTCTGGCGACTCACCTGGAAGTGGTGGGGCTCGGGGTTTAGGGTTTAGGGTCTAAGGTAATATATCCAAACAGTCAATCTTTGAATTTTACTTGTTTTGCTTATCCTCAAAATTAGTGTAAAGAACTACTTTCATTTAGAAGATTCAAGTTCATTTTTTAATCTTCATGTAGAACTCAACCTGATAATCGATAACCGATTAAAAAACATAGACATGATTTGTTTGGGAGATTTTTTTTATTCCTTTTTCCGGTGGGGCCGCGCAAATCCACGTATAATACCCACAACAAATTATAATCATAGAAACAAAAATATGATCAACATTCATATTTGAACGAATATATATTGTAGTATGTGTGGAATCAAAAGCTACTGTCAACAGTAGGCTTATTGAGGAACCCTTTTGTAGTTTAGTGTAGTCCTTGATATAGTCCCTGATAAGGAACCCACGCATATGAATTTAGGAGAGTAAGTCAGTTTGGGTTGCGTGCTGAAGTATGCGGGCATTCAGGACTTACAGACCTTCACGTTTATGAGTGTGCCCTAGGAATGGGAGACGGGAAATTGAGGCGTTGGTAGACAAGTATGGCATGGTCAACATGGTTTAGGGTGGGAAACTATACCCTACCCCAAACCCTAAACCCTAAACCCGAAACTAAACCCTAAACCCTGGAAAGGGTGTGAGGGTCGTGCCAAGCCATGAGAAGCCCCTCGCCCGTCTACCTGGCGCTTAGTAGGCAAAGAGGACATGGATCTCCATAGCAGTCCACATATAGTTGGTTCCCAAAAATCGGAGGGTCCCATTGGATATTAGGTGCTGTAATATAACCTACATCCAAGATGGTAGTTTTGAGAATAGCCCATACAATCCTCTAAAACCTGAACCCTAAGTCCCGTTGGTCAAAGTCCCTAGACCCCGTCCCCCCCTTCCAGAAGTCCAGAGTCTTTGGAAGTTTGGACCTTTGACCTTCTCTTAGCCTAACCAATGGACGTACTTAGGAAAACAAGTTGAAGCTACCAACAAGGGTTAAATGCCTGTTTAATTATACACCAACCGAGACCAAAACTCACTGCCGCTTACTTGGACTGCGCTGAGCCAGCATTTTGAGCACACTGGCTCATGGCTAAAAATTGTTACGTAGGGTTGCAAGTATTTGATTGATGATTCTTTATGCGATCCGTTGGGCACCTCAATTTGACGTACATATTGCCAAACTGAGACAGAACCTGAACAAGTGTCTCTTGCAGACTGAAGCCCTAAACCCTGAACCCTAATCGCTAAACCCTAACCCCTATCCCTAAACCCTACGTCAACCCTAAACCCTAAACCCTAGCCTGCATGTGGGGCGGATCCCTGATGCTGGATCTGGTGCAGTTTCTCTCGTCCATCAACCCTTGGATGACTAAAGGGTTTAGGGACACGCGGTTTAGGGTTTAGGGTTTAGTAATTTAGGGTTTCCCCACAATCTTTGATTGCTAAAGGCCTTCGAGGTTGCTCAGGAAGGCTTGGGTGTACACCACCAGCAATAAGAAGAGAATTTTGGTCACCTCAATCCCAAGTCTTGAGCCCCTTATGCCTATCATCACATCAGCCAGCAATACAGTCCTAAGTTTGTAGTCTGGAGTCTCAAGTTGTCCTCTTCTTGTCCCAGTTCGCTAAATACGTCCTCTTATGTAATCGAGGTAGAATCATCCCTCAAAGTCTTGTTCTAATCAAATAGGCCCCCCGCATTAATTTGACCTCCAACCATGGCACAGACAAGATTTCCCCTGGCAATAACCCCGCCCCTCAATTCACTTAATATAATAGGGTTTAGGGTTTAGGGTAGGAAATCCCAACCTATTCACGATTAGCGGGGAACGTGGAGTTCCACGGCATTTCTGGCGAAGTTGGAGCTGTACTAGGTGACCATATTAAGGCTTAAAGTTGTATTGTAAGTACAGTTATACCCTAAAACCCAAACACTAAACCCTAAACCCTCAAACCCCAAAACCCCATACCCTAAATTAACGCCAAACTCTAATCCCCAAACCCTAAACCCCAAACACCCATACCTCAAACCTTGAGGGTGTTCTTATCACCGAGGTCATGGATAATTCGACCGCTTCCATGCGCGTCATGAGCTGGGCACCGAGTTTCGAGTTCAGGGCTTAGGGTTTGGGATTTAGAGCTTTAGTGCTTAGGGTTTTAGGACATAGCGTTTGGGGGGTTTAGAGTTGGGTTTTAGGTTTCAGGGATTCATGGTTCAGGGTTTAGTTTGTAGTTCAGTGTTTGGGGTGCAGGGCTTATTGTGTAGTAGTGTTGCGGGCGTCGTAAGAATTACCCTAAAACCTAAACCCCTGAAACCCTAAACCCCTGAACCCCTAAACTCCAAACCCTAAACCACGTAGCGAAAGCCAGGCATTGCTGAATTGAAGCGCTACCTGGAGAAAGCCCAGGCAGCTCCCGAGATGCTAACAAGGCCCGGATGTTTCTTGGACTGGGTTTGGATTTAAGATTTAGGGTTCAGGGGTTCAGGGATTTATGGTTTAGGGTTCAGGGGTTCAGGGATTTATGGTTTAGGGTTTCGGGTTTGGGGTTTGCGGTTTAGGGATTTAGGGTTTAGTGTTCAGGATTTAGGGTTTGGGATTTAGGTGTTGGGGGTTCACGGTTTGTGGGGGGTTCATGCGAAGCCCAAACATTTAAGAGTATTGTAGAAGTCAAAATGCCATATTTGGTCTAGGGTTTAGGTGTACAGCATACCCCAAGAATGAAGAACCACACGCAAGATAAGATGAGGCAGGAATCAGGGAGTATGTGCGTGTGTTATGTAAGGATTGCAATCATAGACTTGTATAATCACAGTAAACGATACCTCAAATAGACCTCATCATGATATTGTTATTGGTGGCAAGCAAGGCCTCTATATATATATATGTACATATGTATACATATTACCTGAACCCTATAAGTAGACACAAGATCAGGCTCAAATCCAAAACAAGAGGCAAATCGGCTGTTATTCTAGACATTTTTGGTGTTCAGCTACGGAGCTTGGTCTAGAGCCCAGGGCTTCGGGAGGAAAGGCTGACGGACTCGGGTTCGGGCCTCATGGATTAGGCATTCATGTTTCGATCTTAGGAATCACACAGGGATTCGGGAGGTTTTGTGCTTTCGTGATCTCTGACCCTGCAGCACCAGATCCTAAACTCTAGCACCCTTAACCCCAAATCCGACGGATTGTCAGAAACTCCAAACCCTAAGCCCTAAACCCTAAGACCTAAACCGTAAGAGCCCTAAGCGCTAAACCCTAAGCCCTAAACCCTGAACACTACGCCCTAAACCCTAAGCTTTAAACCCTGAAGACCCAAAGTCTCAAACCAAACCCAAAACAACAAACCAAAACCGCTTTGGGGCACGGTAACAGGCGACTTGGCTGCTGCTCAGGATGTTGGCGCTTCTTCAGCACAGGGCCACAGAGGGGTTTAAGGATGTAGAGTTTGATGGTTTGGGGTTTAGGGTTCAGGGTTTAGGAGGGTTCAGGGTTAAGGGGGCTAGGATTTAGGGTTGGAGGGTTTGGGCTTTTAGGGTCGGAGTCCAGGGTTCAGGACGTAGGCCGTAGGGCTTTGGGTTTACAGCGTACGTCACAGGTTGGGTGAGGCTTAGAAATGAGGGGAAGTCCTGACGATGTTGTTGATGATCATGGTGATTCTTGTTATTTATAGTAATAACACTACTATTATTGGGCCGCAGAGGTCTCGCAGAAGGAGTATATGTCTGTAGAAGTATATATACATGTATATGTGCATGCATACACAAACCCCAAACCCGCAATCCTAAACCCTAAACCACGCCACCTGTTTGCGTGGTACCATCCGCATACTCAGCGCTCTAGCCACAAGGGTGCTGAAGGTTGTTTCGTGTACATGTCAGACCATGGAATAGCACGTATGTTGTTGTTTTCCCTCTTCGTCCTATTTGGGGTAGTGTTTCAAGTCTGGGTTTTCTGCTAGCGGTGGTGTAGGAGGCTTGGAGTTCAGGATCTGAGGTTCCGGTTTTTTGCCTGTCAGGTTCCACCTATACATCCTCACACTTTTGATAATGACCCATTTGCCGATGGAAATGTTCCTCTATCCCTGCATGTCCTTTATTCTTATTATTGTTGTCTGAGCAAGCTCCTGCTAAAAAGGCATAGGTGGCTAAGGCCATGTACCAAGCAGCAGCGCCAAGCGTCCAAACGAATCATTCTACGGCTGCGTGCCTCAACAAGGGACCCATACAGAGCTCCCGGAAACTTCCGCACGCCAGGGTTTTAGGTTTTTCTGTTTGCCTCTGAGTTGCCTGATGGATTTGTGTCACCGGTTTTCAGTATAGGTAGAGTCTAAACTTTCTAAAAGAGAGTGTAACGCATTACGGGCCCCATATTTTACAGCCAAACGCGCATTTTCAAGTGATTTTATAGGGTTAGCAGCAAGAAAGCAACGATTATCATCCATCATACAAAAATACTAAGGTAT